GGGACCACTGCTTCAGGGTGCTCTCGCCCTGAGCTGGATCTGGGCTAAGTCATAATCAGCCTCTGCCTTTTCCTGCCTCACCGGCTCTGCACCTCCTCTGTCTGAGAAGCCACATGCCCAGACAGAGAAAAGTGAGCTGGGGAAGAAGTGCGTCTCCTATTCCTGTCTCTTCCATGCTGGCACAGTCCTGTTTAGGTCCTCATTTGAAAACCTGACCAATACTAATAAATACCAATAAAACCCAAGTTCAGCCAACACTGTCTGGTCTCTGCCTCCACCTCCTGTCTTTCACAAGCAGGGTGGGGAAATGCTCCGACCTTTCTCACAATGACTTGCACCACTCTGAAACTCAGGTGACTCACCTGGCGTTGGGTAAACAGGGGTCAGTATCACAAAGATGCCCACTGAGGGCTCCACCTCTGAGGTAGATGTGCGCATCATTTCCACATAAATTTTAAGAGGACATGGAGTTTTCCCTCAACCCTTGAAGCGTGTTAATTTTAGGGAAAATTGCTGACCAATCATTTAAAGCTCATGGATGTTGACAACAAATATAATGAATTATTTAGTTGGAAGTCTTTAGGCCTGGAAAACAGCTCAATACTTCAAATGGCTTCTTTACCAAAAACTCTTGAGTTTTTCAAGGACAGAATGAATGGTTGCCACATCTTGGTGAATGGTTAGCATCTGGCTTCTCTTCTAGAATGTTCCAATCTGCCACTGCCTGGTTGCAGAACCACTCTGAATGTGATACTTCAACAGAGCAGTGTCTCAGCAGTAAGATTCCCCTTAAATGACTGTGATTTCTTATCCCACAGTTCACTGTGTCTGATTCTAAACATCTCTGGCTCCGTCACAAAGCTCTCTCTGGCCTGATTCTGCTACCTTAGAAGGTCAGTGATTCAATGGACACAGGGAAGTTAACATTTGGAAGATGTGGGTAGATTTATTATTTTAATACTTTTTGTCATATTTTCCCAATTGGCCTTCAAAAATAAAAAAAATTAAAAGACTTTAGGAAGCTTTCTATTCAAGCCCTGTAGTCCAACAGGCGGAGTCTGCCAAGTACAGGACCTACGTGCAAAAAGCAACAGTTTTCCTCTACCCTAGCAAGAACCAATCCAAAATGTCAAGGAGAAAAAGAAAACCCATTCAATTAAAAACAGCAGGGAAAAGCTATAAAATAAACCTAACCAGAAACGTGCAAGATGTCAGTGGAGAAGACAACAATATTAAAGAACACTTACGTTCCTGGATGGGAATATTCAATATTTAAAGTTACTCATTCATCTCAATTTAACAGGTGAAATCAATACCTTCCCAAAGCTACTGCAACCAAGTAACTAAACTTAAAAAAAAAAAAATCCCAAATAAGCCCTAAAATCTTCTTGAAGACAAAACATACAAAAATAGACAAAATAAAACACTCAAAGAATGGAAATAAGATGATTCTTGTCCTACTAATTATCAAAACGTACTATGGAAAAATCTGAAAAATGTCACTAAATCACTGCAAGAGAAAAGGATTCAAAAACAGACTGAAGAAATTATACCAATTCAAGATGCAACAAAAGTGAATATTCCATTCAATGGATAAACGGAGAATTATTGAATTAACTATGTCAGAGGGACTAGTTATCTTTTGGAGGGTCAAATAATTAAACCATTTTCATCACAAGATACTCAGATTATTATAGCTTAAGGTTAACCAAAATTACAAATATATTAGAATAAAATACAGGTATAGACTTTACAGTCTAGATGAGGGGAAAGGCTTACAATTTAAAAAATGATTCCATAATATAAATGATTAACATGACAATTTTAAGTTAATTTATATTTAATTTAAGTATATGTAAGACTGATGATCAAAAATGAGCAAGAAGGGACAAAAATATTTGCAATATATAAGACCAACTTTAAATACCAAGGATATATAGAAATACCTATAAATCAGGAAAAATAACCAAGTAGGAAAAAAAGGGCAAAGATGAATTAGCATTTCATATATTTCACAGATGAACTGTGTTAAAGGAACATAACACTCACCTCTACTCATAATCCCTCACATGCATACAAAGGCAAACCTAAACCACAATGAAATACCATTTATCACTGATTTGATTGGGGAAATTTCAAACTGATTATATTCAGCATTTACAAATTTAAAAAGTGATCTCAAGCACGATCCAAGAGTGATTGGGCAGTGTAGGATTAAATTAGAAACTGGGTCCTATCCTAGGGAAAGCAGTGTGTATGTGTACAAGGAGCCTTACACAGGGTGAGCAGTATTATTATTGTTAATAGCCTCAAGTCCAAAATAACTTAAACACCTATTAGTGAGGCTACAATTAAACAAGCAATGGTGTGGTCACACAATGGTATCTAATGTTTCTCATGGAAACTATGAGACAGACTTTTATGTGCTGACAGGAAGAAAAACAAGGTGCGGAACCCACAAGTAGTATTCTCGGTGTTTGTGTGTGTCAGACACACAAACAAAACTATGTAAGATACAACTTCATGTAACAACAAAAACATACGTCTACACGTTCCTAAATACATACGTGGTAGTAATTGGATAGACCCACACTCACACACGCTCTGCCAGGAGTCCATCTAATAACACAGCGTCTGAAGTCTCTCTGATCATCAGGTTCTAAGATGACTTCTTAAAGCTGTTATAATTTCTGTAATTTTCATGATAATGTTATTACTTAGTTCAATTAGCATTCTGCACGAATCACCAGATATCTGCAAGGTGGTGTTTTGTGAAGTCAACAATGGAGTCAGTTATGCCAAGTTCAAGTTCCTTGTGGGAGAAAGTGATATTTAAAGGGCAATCATGTAGAACAAATGAGGTTTGGTTAGACGAGCTTTCCCCATTGATTCTGAATTCAATATAGATTTAATTATATTTATTTAAGACCCTTAATTGTTACTTATCCTGCATGTCTTGATTTCATGTTTGCTTGTTCAGTTTTAGTGATAGCAATGTAATCCACTGTTAGTGCATTCCTGGAACTACCTTCCTGGCCTCGTCTACTAGAATTCCCAAACACCTGCATCATGTCAAGGTAAACTGAGTACTGCTTAGGATAAAAATCTTAACTGCGAAGTAATCTTCCTTTAGATTAACTCCTGCTTCTGCAGCAAAATTAGTACTCAGACAAAAATGGTCACCAGTGGAGTTTTTGGGGGGGCGGGTGCTGTTGGGAATGGGGTAGTTTCTTTTCCCTGTCCTTAGTTGCCTTTTGCCCCATTCTTTCTCCTTTCCATCTTTCCTTCAGGTAGCAACATTCATTTTGGTTATTTCCTCCTCAGCTGCCACTCACTGTTTCTGGAAGAAGGTGGAGGGTGAATTCGGGTGTGTGGATGCACAGGGATCTGCAGGCAGCACAGCGCCATTACCCTAGGGACTTCCTAGCCCGGACGTGGCACTCCTATCCAGTGCACATGACCAGGATTGGAAAGGGATCCACAGGGACGCTGGTCCTCATCTCCTGTTGCCGCTCATTAAATACGTTCACCTTCTTCCCTTTCTCCTACTTATGTTGTCCTCCTCCTTCCCTTTCCTTTTTCCTTCTCCTCTAACCTTGAATGCAATGTGGTGAAAAAGAGGACGGGAAGCCTGGGTTTGATCTCAGCCCTACCACTTCCTGGCTTTGGACGTGCAGCCAGACACATGGTCCATCTTCTGAACTTTGGGCTCCTTGACTGTGAACTCAGACCTGTATCCCAAGATGCTTCCTTGTGAGTTCAAATGACATTGTATGTGTTGACATCTGGACTGGAGTTCAGTGGGTGTTTAGTAAAGTTCAAGTCATCCTTCTTTCTGAACATATTTGCTTTGTAACTTTATTTCTAACTGTGAAATTGTAGACCAGGAATTCAGACCATAAATGAATTTTCAAAGATCAGCAAGAATCTAGCTGTAACCCCTGAAATTGAGATCTAAGTGTATGCAAACACAAGTAAATTACAAGTATGCACTACAAAGAAGATAACGGATGAGTACTGGTACTTATGAAAAAACCTAATTAACTTTATGAGACCTGAAGGGTCGGAGAAGATAAATGAGGACTTCAGGTACCGGGCAAACGAATTAGAACATCATAACCACAGCTCTGGAACAATAATAATAAAAGAAACTGCCGGCGCCGCGGCTCACTAGGCTAATCCTCTGCCTGCGGCGCCGGCACAGCGGGTTCTAGTCCCAGTCGGGGTGCCGGATTCTGTCCCGGTTGCCCCTCTTCCAGGCCAGCTCTCTGCTGTGGCCAGGGAGTGCAGTGGAGGATGGCCCAAGTGCTTGGGCCCTGCACCCCATGGTAGACCAGGATAAGCACCTGGCTCCTGCCATTGGATCAGCGTGGTGCACCAGCCGCGGCAGCCATTGGAGGGTGAACCAACGGCAAAAGGAAGACCTTTCTCTCTGTCTCTCTCTCACTGTCCACTCTGCCTGTCAAAAAAAAAAAAAAAAAAAAAAGAACACTTGCATGGAACAAATCCATAGGTCCACTCTGCCTGTCAAAAAATAAAAATAAATAAATAAATAAATAAAAGCAACTATCTGAACTCTGAAAATAGCAAGGTGTTAAACAAACAAACAAAAAAAGCTGAAGAGCAAAATGTTATCAGGGTGAGTTTTGTGCAGAGGTTTTTCTCTTTCATCTCCTAGTTTTGAACCAAGGGTGGTCCCAGTGTGGAAGTACCCAAGGACACAAACAACAGAAAACTAAAGAAAAAAATAAGTGTATGTGTGCACACACATATCTCAGCCAGAGAACAAGAAAATTCATAGAAAATCCTTTCTTTTAAATAAAAGTTTAGTTTGAGATAATTACAGAAAATAATAAAAGTGAGTGCAGGGAGACCTCATGGCCCTCTTGCTGAGTTTCCCCACTGGTGACATTTTACATGGCCATGGTCCATTTGTAACAACTGAGAAACTGACATTGCTACATCACTACTGACCACACTCAGACTTCACTTGTACTCACTGGTTTTTCCACTAAAGCCCTTTTCTGCTCCAGGATCCCACGTGGCATTCACTCCTTAGTCTTGGCTGGTCTATGGCAGTGTCTTGGTCTCTGTGCTTTACTGGCTTGGAGTACTCATTGGCTATTTTGTAGAAAATCCTTCAAATTGGACTTGCCTAATGTTTTTCTTATGTTTCAACTGAACTTAAAAGACCTGGGGAGAACAAGGAAATAAAGTGCCCTTTTCATAACATCACATCAGAGGCACACAACAAGACTTGTCACTGGCAACATTTACCTTCACCCTCTGGCCAAAAAGATGCTTGCTGTGTTGTAAGCAAGTCATTGAGTCTGGCACACACCCAAGGCCAGTTGAAGGAGAAGCTCCAAAAATTATTCAGACTTTTCTGTAAGGAAGATTTGTCTCTTTTCTTGCTTTATTTCTTTATGTTATGAAGGGAGCTGTCTCAGATCCACACTCAGGTGTTGATGGTGGCACAGGCACCTAACACCCAAAGAGAAAATTTGTCTTTCTGGCTAGAGGACATGGGAGGAGCAGACTGTGTGGGCTGAAGCATAAGGGAAAATGTCAATACTGAACCCCTTCTTGATGGCCCAAGTACATGGGTCCCTGTCACTCAAGTGGGAGACCTGCATAGAGTTTCAGGCTCCTGACTTTGGCCTGGTCCAGTCCCCGCTGTTGCAAGCATTTGGGAAGTGAATCAGCAGATTGAAGACTTTCTTTCTCTCCCTCTCTCCACTCCTCTCTCTCTTTCTCTCTCTCCCCCTCTCATTCTGTCTTCCAAATAAATAAAAAATAAATTAAAAAAAAAAAAAAACCTTCACAAAGCTACTCAGCCACACACATAGCTAGAACTCCTAGAGAGAAACCACATCTCCATCTGGGTGATTCAGTAAACAGATCTGGAAGCCACAGGGAATGGGGGGAATAGGGAAAAGGAAAGCATTTAGAAAGGAATCCCTTAATTCTGGGTCTGAGCTGACAATAAATCCCAGGCTCACTCTGAGCGGCCCATGTGTCAGACCTTTCAGAAGAGTAAAGCTGGGGCCGGCGCTGTGGCACAGTGGGTTAACGCCCTGGCCTGAAGCACCGGCATCCCATGTGGGCCCAGTTCTAGTCCCAGCTGCTCCTCTTCTGATCTCGCTCTCTGCTATGGCCTGGGATAGCAGTAGAAGTTGGCCCAAGTCCTTGGGCCCCTGCACCCACATGGGAGACCCGGAAGAAGCTCTTGGCTCCTGGTTTTGGATCATCGCAGCTCTGGCCGTTGCGGCCATCCGGGGAGTGAACCAGCAGATGGAAGACCTCTCTTTCTGTCTCTACCTCTCTCTGTAACTCTGACTTTCAAATAAATAAATTAATTAAAAAAAGAAGAGCAAAGCTGTCAAGAACTAAAGAGACATTGGAACTGCTGCCCACAGAAGGTGAGAACATGCATGATTTGAAGATGCCCAGGTTCACAGCCTGTGAAAACGAAACAGCTGATATTCCTCAGAAGATTTGGTAAAAGAGGACAGAGGAGAGACAAAGAGAAAGAGAGATATTCCATCTGCTTGTTCACTCCTCAAATAGCCATGATGGCCAGGACTGGGCCAGGCTGAAGCCAGGAGCCAGGAACTTCTTCCGGGTCTCCAAGGTGGAAGCAGGGACCCACGCACTTGGGCTATCTTCTGCTGCTTTCCCAGGTGTACTAGCAGGGAGCTGGATCAGAAGCCAGTAGCCAGGACTCGAACTGGCATCCATATGGGGTGTCGGCACTGCAGATGGCAGCATTATCTGCTGTGCCACAGTGTCAGCCCTCTTAAGAAGATTTTAACAGGACCCAGAGCATCACAGCATCATAATCAAGAAGTCCAGAATATGATCTAAAATCATTCAACATAGCAAAAAAAAAAAAAAAAAAAAAACTTGCAAAAACACAAAGTCCGGCATCTGGTCCAGCAATTAAGATGTACACATTATGTACTGGAGTGCCTGGGTTCAAATCCACCCTCAGCTCCTGACTCCAGCTTCCTGCTGATGTGCAGCCTGGGAGGCTCCAGTGACTGGGTTCCTGACACTCACATGGGTGATCAGAATTGTGTTCCAGTTTCTGGTTTCAGCCTGGACCAGCACCACTGTTGTAGGCATTTAGAGAGGTAATCAGCAGAAGAGGGATCTCTGTCTGTGTATGTGTGTGCATCTGCTTTTCAAAATAAACCATAACATTCTGATATTGGTGTTCCAAAAGGAGGGAAGAAAGATTTTGGTGCAGAAAAAATTCTGAAGATAAAATGGCAGAAAATGCAAACTTGGTAAAAGAATAAATTTACATCTTTAGAAACCTCAGAAAACCCCAAACAAAACAAATTTGAACAAAACCAAACCCATCTACATTATAATCAAACTGCTGAAAACTGGGGATGAAGAAAAGTCTTGAAAGCAAACAGGAAGAAATGCTCCATTTTACGTAGGAGAACAATTACAAGGACTGCTGATTTCAGTGGAATTGAATTCTGCTCCACAGAATAACACACATAAAGTGCTGAACGAGCTTCCAACTCAGAATTCTAGGTCTAGTAAAATATACCCTATATTAGCGATGACAAAACAACAAGGAAATCGGAGATAAAACTGAGCATTCTCTGAAGGAAACTGGCACTTCAGGAATAAAACAAGAGCAACAGAAATGATAACTATCTGTGCAATTATAATAAACTATTTTTCTATTGAGTTCCTTCAAATAAAAATTACTATCTAAAGCCAAACTGCAGACATTGTCTGGTGCGGTTGCCCCGTATGTAGATATAATACACCCTGGCAACTGTGACATAAAGGGAGGCTGGAATTCCTAAAGTGTCTGCAAGAGAGAGAGAGAGAGAGAGAGAGAGAGAGAGAGAGAGAAAGGGAAGGGAAAAATGCAACAGATAAATTAACATAATGTAAGTGGCTTACTAAAAAATAGTCAAGTAATCAAAATGAAGCAGGAAATGGAAAACAGAAACCCAGAAACACACACGCCCAGATGAAGGCACAATCAAAGCGAATAAAGAGATGCACATAAAAACCAAGCGTCTCAGTCTGTACGGGTTGCTATAACAAAACACCATAAACAACATGGCCCATAAACAAGAAATGCTTACTTTTCACAGCTCGGGAAACCAAAGAATCCAAGGTCAAGAGGCAAGACTTGGAGTCTGGCGAGGGCCTGCTGTCCTCACAGCCGTGAACTTCAGAGTCCTCACAGGGCAGAAGGAGTGAAAGTCTCTCCTGGACCTCTTTCATAGGGGCTGTAACCCCCTGCACAAGGGCGCTGCCTTCAGGACCTACCCACCTACCAGAGGCCCAGTCTTCTAATACCATCACCTTGCATGTTGATATTTCAACACGCACATTTGGAGAAGACACAAACATACGGATTGCAGCACCAACCTATCAAAGATTACACTATACTTAAATGACCTTAACATAACCACTAAAAGACAGAGATTGGGGCCAGCACAGTGGCATGGTGATAAAGCTGCCACCTGCAACGCCAGCATCCCACTTGGGTACCAGTTCATGTCCCTGTTGTCCCACTTCTGTTCCAGCTCATTGCTAATGACCTGGGAATAGCAGCAGAAGATGGTCCAAGTGCTTGGGCCCCTGCACGCATGTGGGAGACCCAGATGACACTCCTGGCTCCTGGCTTCCTCCTGGCCCAGCCCTGGCTATTGTGGCCACTGGGGGAATGAACCAGCAGATGGATGAGGCATTTCTCCCTCCTTTCTCTCCCTCTTCCCTTTTCTCTCTGTAACTCTGACTTTCAAATAAAGAAATTAAAAACTTTTTAAATAAAGATCGTCAGATTTGACTTTACAACAACAAAAGCTGTTAGCTGATTTTGAATACTTACTGCAACATGTGTGCAACAGAAGTGAAATTGTACTGTGAATGAGGTGAGTCACCACATAACTCACTTCTCTCTAGCTGTGGAACAATTTTGTCGGTTTCAGTGTCCCTTCTAGTCTGGCTGGGGTGGTTCTGCTGTCCAGGCTCAGTTAAGTCACTTAAATGGCTCCACAGTTTGCCTGCTTCTACAAGAATAGAGCTCTTGAGTGTTCAGCCACCAACTCCATTACAGAAGTCTCATTTGGGGACAGGTTAATGACCCACAGGGGCACTCATGCCTCAGTTTCAGCCAGCAATACACAGAAATCTGTTGGGTGTGCAATGATTTGGATGTTACTTCCCCCCAAATCCCATACGTTCAAGGATCCGTTCAAGTCTCACATCAGTGGCACCTGAGTACGGTGGTAAGAGGTAGGGCCTTTGGGAAGTGACTGGACTGCATTAGAATGTTGGGGTTGAACTCTGAGGATGAAATCACGGTGGCTTTTTTTTTGTTTTGTTTTTTGACAGGCAGAGTGGACAGTGAGAGAGAGAGACAGAGAGAAAGGTCTTCCTTTGCCGTTGGTTCACCCTCCAATGGCCGCCGCGGCCGGCGCGCTGCGGCCAGCGCACCGCGCTGATCCGATGGCAGGAGCCAGGAGCCAGGTGCTTCCTCCTGGTCTCCCATGGGGTGCAGGGCCCAAGCACCTGGGCCATCCTCCACTGCACTCCCTGGCCACAGCAGAGGGCTGGCCTGGAAGAGGGGCAACCGGGACAGAATCCGGCGCCCCGACCGGGACTAGAACCCGGTGTGCCGGCGCCGCTAGGCGGAGGATTAGCCTAGTGAGCTGCGGTGCTGGCCTATCACGGTGGCTTTGTAAGGAGAGGCACACACAGGTATGTGCTCCCTGTTGCAAGAAAGCCAGCACAAGACGTAGAACCATAGGGCCCGTCCAATCTTGGACTACAAACTTTGAGCACCACAACTCAAAGTCACAAGTAGTCTGTGTCCAGTATTTCATTACGGCAATGAGAATAATGGGGGCATCACAGAAATATAATTTTCCCCTGAGAAGAGAGGAAGGTCATGTTTGGGGGGTGGGGGAGTGCAGACACTGCATCACTTCGCGTTTGAGTTCTGTTGCATGAGAAAGAGATACTCTGTGATAAGTACTGCTTGGAAGGCAGAGAAGAGTGATGAGCCAACCCAAGAGTGTCCACTGCTGAGCGAGTCCTCAAGTAAACAAGAAAGGGACTTACGGTTCACGCCACTGCTGGTCACTGGTACCAGGAGTCAAAAGCACTCGCTGACCACGGCGCAGAGCGTCTGCTTTCTCCCAGCACGGAATGCCGTCCTGGTTCTGTCCTCGCCCCCGCGCCCACCCCTCAGTTCTGAGGGGAGAGGGCTGGAAAGACCATCCGCCTGCAGACGAGGGAAGCGCCCTGGAGCAGGAGGCGAGGCAGGTTCACCTGTCACGGAACCGGGCTTGGCATTCACTGGGCCGAATTTTGATCGAGCGGTGGCTGTACGTGAAGCCCTGTGGGAATTAAAGGTACATCAGATGGATGAGGGCTTGTTCTGTGCTTCAGCTGGGCGTGACGGACAGTAGGCAAATAAGCAGGCAGGTCATTTTGTGCAGAGGGGAGCGCTGGGGCTCACTGGAGACCTCGTGGCCCAAGACAAACAGCTGGGTTTGCAGCCTCTTGCAATGTCTTTGAGCGACGACAAGGAAGCTCGGAGCTTCCAAGGCCTTCGTAAAGTTCCACGTGCATGATCCAAACTCAAAAGGGCAGCAGAGCGACCTTTCCACTCAGGTCTCTTTCAAAAAGCCGGGGTGAGGAGAAAACATGGCATACATGGGGAAAGCCGTAAACCTCAGTCAGTGGAGAAATGGAAATAGCTTACGATGGCGGTTACAGGACAGCTGCGCTACACGGTGCGCCGCAGAGAGCAGAGGAAGAAGGCCAGGTCGGAGGAGCCCTCGCGGGGCCGCGACCCCCGGCCGGCGGCGGGCGCCTCACCGCAACCCGACTGAAGGCGGCGCCCAGAGAGGCTGAGGGGCCGGCGGCAGCCCGCCCGCACCCGGACTAGTCCCGGGGCCCTCTCCCGGTGCGAACCCGGGAACGCGGGGTGCGGAACCCGCAGGCCCGGAGACTCTAAGACGTCCCTCAGAGTTCCAGCCGCGCCTGCCCCACGTCCCGCAGGGAAACTCCGCGGGGTCATCGTCCCCGCATCTCATTTCCACTCGCGTGTCACAGACGCCGCCAGCTCAGGTGCCAGCGCCAACCCGGTGCCTCCCGAAAGCCCTGCTCACGCAGCAGTGCAACCCCGCCCCGTCCGTAACCATGGGAACGGCGGACACGCCGCAAGCCGGAGAAGCCCCGCTCCATTCCGCCCCCTCCCTGACAGATATTGTTTCCCACTGCCTGTCCACATGGGCGCACCGCCTCACTATTGGTCCGTGCCCCAGGACAGTGCTTTCCTCCAGCCAATAAACGGCCTGTGCACGTGCTCGCCTACGTCTCCCGATTGGTCAACACTGCCTGATCACGCACTGCCTTCCTGCGCCAGCCCGTGCGTGGGGGCGCCAATGAAATGACTCAGTAGTCATGAACAACCAATCGGCAAGAAGCAGGGCTCACAGCTGACCTATGGGAGCGCGCCGGGGGTGGGCTGTCCAGGACCCGTTCCTGTCCCTCTTGGGTTTGTTAAAGCGACAGGCCCCGCGGCGAGCCGGTGCTCCACCGGGCACGGCACAGCGGCCGCGGTGGCCCTCGGCGTGCGGCGGGCGCCCGTGACAGCGGCGCCGCTGGGCTCGCGACCCCGGCTCCGGGCCTCTGCGGACAGCAGGAGCGGAGCCCCGTCGCCCGGCGGGATGGGCGGCGAGGCGGGGTCTGCGGCGGCCCTGGGCTCCGAGGGCCGCGTGAAGAGCTTGGGACTGGTGTTCGAGGACGAGCGCAAGGGCTGCTACTCGAGCGGCGAGACGGTGGCCGGGCACGTGCTGCTGGAGGCGGCCGAGCCGGTGGCCCTGCGCGCGCTGCGCCTGGAGGCCCAGGGCCGTGCCACGGCCGCCTGGGGCCCGGGCGCCGGCGCGGCGCCGGCCGCCGCCTCGGAGGTGGAGTACCTGAACGTGCGCCTGAGCCTGCGCGAGCCCCCGTCCGGTGAGCGCGGGGGGCCCCGGGGGGCGCGCGGGCGGGAGGCGCACCTGGCAGGTGGGCCCCGGGCGCCCGGCGCGGCGGCGGGTCACAATGCCCGCGCCCCTGCCCGGCCGCCGCGGTGGGCGAGTCTCGGCAGCAGCTGGAACCCGGAGCCGGGGCGCGAGCCGTCGCCATGGGAACCTGCGCTCGGACAGCTGGACAGCTGGGGGCCCGGGGATGCCGGCCGGGTCCGCAGTGCCCAGGGCTTCTGGGGCGTCTCCTGCCCGGCCTGAGCCTGCGCGCCCCTGCCTGGTTCGGGATGAATTAGCAGAAACTCGAGTCCTGCGGGGAGGGCAGGGCAGTGGCAGGAAAGGTTCCTGGACCTGACCCGCTGGGCACCGTCGCCGACCCTGGGGTCCTCTTCCTCGCCGCACCCCTCTTCCCTGCCAGGTGTGCGTGCGCTCGTGGGCGCGCCTCGCCCTCGCGCGTGGGAGGCGTCCCCCAAAGTGCCCACGCGAGGACCCCCCCTGCTTGGAGGGGTGCTCCTTTCGCAGTAGGCGCGGAGAGGGATTCCCTGGACCCTGGGCCCAACCAGGGTCCACAGGTGGGAGCCCTTCCGAGCCCTCTTACCCCTCCGCCCCTTAAGCTTTGCTGCCAGGTAAGATGGTGGCACCCCCCCCCCCGGAAGGGTAAACTGAGGCTCGCCGGGTCTCGCAGGATACAGAATGGGCCGTTTTGTCCTGGCCTGGGGCCACTGTCACTGGCTTAGCCAGCTGACACCCCAGACGGTTGCTTGGACCCCGCCTTGCCGCCCTCTGCCCCCTGGTAAATTTATGGCATGGACCATGCTCGCCCCTCCCAGTGGTGACAGGGACACAGATTTCCAAGATGGCCGACCCAAGGGAGCAGGGACCTGGGTTTTGTCCAAGGTGTCTGTGTTTCCAGGGCCCGTGGGTGCTGGGTGAATAGATGGAGAATTGAAAGAAGGCGCTCCTGGGCTTAGCAATGCAAATGGCTTTGGTAAAACCCGGGCTGACCCATGGTTTTTGATCTTGATTTTTGATCCACATGGACCAAGAATAACCATAATCTTGCTCAGTAGAGAGGGGAAAAAAGTCAGCCGATAGCCACTAACCTGGGAGAAGTTAGCGCCTTGACTTAGTCACAGATTCTCTCAGAGTCATCCTGGTCTGCACATCACCTACAAAAGTCTTCAGAAATCTGGGTTAGTGGGAAATGAGGCCCTGGCATCTGTTTAAAAAAAAAAAAAAATCCCCGTGTGGTTGTTGGCCGCACAAATCTCAGCCAATGCTTGCTCCCATGATGATGGGGACAGGGGTGGAGGGGCAGGAACCCACCTGGAGCCTGGGTTGCAGCTCTGCGCACCCGTCAGGAGTGCAACCTGAGGCTGGCCCCTTAGCCCTCCTGAGCCCTGGTCACCGCCACTCCTACGAGCCTTTGGCCAGAGCGTTGGCTGTGAGACCGTTGGCCAGGGAAGCATTGCCCTGACCTGGCAGAGCTGGGTGTCCAGGAGGGCGCAGTGAGCCCAGCCCTGAGAGCAGAAGCAGAAAATGGGCCCGGGATTCTACCTGGGAAGGTTTTTAATGAAACACAGGGCAGGAAACCCAGATCTCACGCCAGGTAGTACAAGCCGTGTTTATGTTTTCGTGACTTTCTTTCCCCTGTTTTGTATTTTAGATGATTGAAAGCCTCATTTTAAGTGCGTTCTTGATTGGTTTTTTCCTAAGAGGCGCTCATCTCTCACTCTCTCAATGTCCTGAGAAACTCTCTCCACATGCCAATCATGTTCTTCTTCCTGCTGTTTCCTCCCCCCCATCTCTGTCAGCAACACCCCCAGACTCCCGCCAGCCTCCGCCTTTCTGGGCAGATGCTCTGGGTTCTAGCAGTCTGTGGTCATTGCTTGGGCACCGAGGGCCGGCCTCCGCTCCTCCTAGTGGTCTGTTTGAAGATTGAAGCGACTCGTCTCTATAGCAACGGTGCCAGGCCTCAGCACTGGCAGTTTGGGATTTAGATGAAATCCATGTTGAAGTATCTAGAAGCTGTTTGTCATCTTCAGTAACCTGATGATTCCTGTGGACCTGGAACCTGCCCCTGAGTGTGAGAGCACCCAGAGTCTGCGTTGCCGGCTCTAAGGCGGAGATACTCCCCTGGCGTCTAGCACGGCCTCCCTGCTATGCCACCCCTGCGGCCAGCTCCCAGCACACCTGAGCCCCTGGGAACTCTCCTGTCCGTGTTACCTACTGTGTTCATTATTTTTATTTTTTTTTTTATTTTTTTTTTTTATTTTTTGACAGGCAGAGTGGACAGTGAGAGAGAGAGACAGAGAGAAAGGTCTTCCTTTGCCGTTGGTTCACCCTCCAATGGCCGCCGCGGCCGGCGCGCTGCGGCCGGCGCACCGCGCTGATCCGATGGCAGGAGCCAGGAGCCAGGTGCTTTTCCTGGTCTCCCATGGGGTGCAGGGCCCAAGCACCTGGGCCATCCTCCACTGCACTCCCTGGCCACAGCAGAGGGCTGGCCTGGAAGAGGGGCAACCGGGACAGAATCCGGCGCCCCGACCGGGACTAGAACCCGGTGTGCCGGCGCCGCTAGGCGGAGGATTAGCCTACTGAGCCGCGGCGCCGGCCTGTGTTCATTATTTTTAAAAAGATTTAATTTATTTATTCCAGAGGTAGAGGGACAGAGAGAAAGGTCTTCCATCTGCTGGTTCACTCCCCAACTGGTGGCAATGGGCAGAGCTGCACCGATCCAAAGCCAAGAGCCAGGAGCCTCCTCTGGGTCTCCCACACAGAGGCAGGGGCCCAGGCAGTTGGGCCATCTTCCACTGCTTTCCCAGGCCACAGCAGAGAGCTGGATTGGAATAGGAGCAGCTGGGATATGAACCAGTGGCCATATGGGATGCTGGTGCAGTAGGCGGAGGCCCAGCCCATTCATTATACCCTTCTTATTTTTGGAGAGACACAGAGAGATCCTCCATCCACTGGTTTCAGTCCTCAGGGCTGCAATGGCCAGGGCTGGGCTAGGCTGAAGCCAGGAGCTCCATCTGGGTGTCCCACATGGGTGGCAGGGGCCCAAACATCTGGGCTTCTCAGGCCATTGATGGGAACTAGACAGGAAAAATGAATGGGCGTCCATATGGGATGCAGGTGTTGCAGGCGGCTACCTTACCTGCTGGGTCACCATGCAGTACACCACCACCACAACACACACACACACACACACACACATTACTTGTTGTTGTTCACTTTGCCTCCAGGCCCCAGATATATTTCTATTCAAATGTGTTGAAGTGGCAAATGCATTCCTCCCTCCCACCCCGATGTATTATAAACACTGAAAATTGGAGGTAGGTTTGGAGGACTTCATGGGCCATCATGGCCCTGTTTTCTGAAATACAGGTTTGGAATGTTGAGAGAACTGGGTCAGGTCACAGAGCTCGAGGGTTAAAGTGAAAAAGAAAAATCTCTGCACTGGTGGCTTTCAGAATCTTTAGATGAATGGATAAGGTAGAAGTCCTCATCTTAGCGTCAGGTGATGGGGCAGATCTGAGACGGAGGCTCCTGTGCTGGCCTTTCTCGTCTCATGTAGGCCACCCTCAGTGAGAGGACTTAGTGCCCAATCAAAGGAGAGCTTGTCGGTGTCCAGGAGACACCTGACCGGCACTGGAAGCCGTGGAGCCTACGCTGGACCTGAATTAGGCAGACTGTGTACCCTCATCAGAGCCTCCAGCCATGCCTCTGACCTGACTGGGGCCATCCGTACCCTGCCCATGACAAACCTCTGCACAAAATGGAGTGGCCTGGGGACCGCTGTCAGGGCAAGGGATGTGGCCATGTTGGTAGAACCATGTATCCCATGTCACCCACCAAAAAACCCTAGTAATCACTCAGACCTAAGCTTACCTACCCAACTCTTGCTTAAGAACTAGTCTTGTTGGTTTGACTGTTTTGTATTATACCCACTATTAATAAATTCATAAACATCTTCCTTTTCCCTGTCTACCCAAAGAATACAGAGTGTGATGTTCGTGGTATACCCAAAAGAAATCTTTCTTTGCTAAGTTACTTTTAAGGTACACTGCAATGGTGGTATCACATTCATAAAATAGAGTGAAGTAAGCAGACGTGCACACATATACTTATACACACACACACACACATACACTTCAAAAAGTTCATGGAAAATGGAATTAGAGGATTTACTTTGTACAAAAATTTTTGAAATCCCTTTTGAAGAGTTTTCAAAGAGTTCCTAAAATGCATATTATGAAAAATTTCATGGATTTTCAAAATTTGGGGCAATGCAATAAACATCTTTATTGTTAAGATTTATTTTATTTATTTGAAAGAGTTACAGAGAGAGAGGGTTCTCCAGTCCTCTAATTCACTCCCCCAAAGGGCCACAACAGCCAGAGCTGAGCCAATCCGAAGCCAGGAGCTTCTCCTGGGTCGCCCATGTGGCCATCTTCCACTTGGAAGTCTTCCAGAAGGACTTGGGCCACCTTCCACTGCTTTCTCAGGAGCATCAGCAGGGAGCTGGATCAGAAGTGTAGCAGCTGGGACTTGAACAGGTGCCCATATGGGCTGTTGCTGCTGCAGGCCAGGGCTTTAATCCACTGCACCACAGCACCGGCCCCAGTAAACATCTTTTAATAACATTTCCTCTGAACTTTTGAAGTACAGTGTCTCTCCCTTCCTCCCTCTCTCCCTCCCTACCTCCCTACCTCTCTCTCTCTCTCTCTCTCACACACACACACACACACAGATACACACACATACACAAACACCCATACTGTATGCTGTGCATACATACATACAAGTTGTGTTTATACATACTACATGTGTGTTTTGTAGCTCCAGGCTCTGTGGTAATTGTGTAATTGGTCTGTTTGAGGATGGCACATGCCTGTATACATGAGTGTGTGTGTGTGTGTGTGTGTGTGTATTTGATAGCTTTTTAATGTCTGTACATTATTGCTCTGTTATGTAATTCCACAAACCATTTCAAGCTAAGGACACTAGAAGGTTCTGTCTGATAATGCATTCTGAAGGTAAAAAATAGGCTGTGTGTGTGAGAGAGAGAGAGAGCGAGAAAGAGAGAGAGAGAGAGATTGAAACTTGGTAAAAACCACTTCAAATGTAATTCCCTAAATCCGACATACCACATTTTATATCTAGGAAAACCTCCTTTAAAAATGCGATTCAGGTGATAAAACGCTTGCTCTAATACGGACTTTAATTGAAATAAATGTGATCTCTTCTGTAGGTGAAGGTGTCATCTTACTGCAGCCTGGGAAGCATGAATTTCCATTTCGCTTTCAACTTCCATCTGAGTAAGTGGGACGGCTCTTGCGCTTGCCTGTACCTGCCATGTGTTCCTCGCGTGTCGGGTGCAGGCGCCCCTGCCTCTGTGCGTGCCCGTTTATCCTCACAGCCCCTCCATCAACCTCTGCCTCTGCTTGCATTTTTTTTTTTTTAACCTGACCCCAGCATGTTCACCCATGCTTCCCTGGGGTCGGTTTAACTGAGAAGTGCACGTGTCAACGGATGTCCCTGGTTTGCCTCAGACCCCTGGTCACCTCGTTCACGGGGAAATATGGGAGCATCCAGTACTGTGTGCGAGCTGTCCTGGAGCGACCCACAGTGCCGGCCCAGAGTGTGAGACGGGAACTGCAAGTGGTCAGCCACGTGGACGTCAACACACCAGCACTGCTGGTGAGTACTCTCCTTCCTCTTCCTCCTGCCTTCGAATAGCGCCATCTGTATATAGCCAGTGGAGCTGTGGTCTGTGCTGTCACTTTCTGACGGCTCAGAAAATACAATCGTGTAACCCATAGGCATTCACTCTAAAGATATGATTCTAGGTTGGGGAAATCACAAATTGTGTGTGTTAATACTATTGATTATGCCCCTGCTGTTCAGGGCTTCTTTTGCCAAAAAGTTACACAGGCTTGAAATGCATTAATAAGGCTTAATAACAATAATGCACACACAGAGAGTCGTTCCTTTTACCAGACTGGCCACATGCACAGGACTGGGTATTCTAAACTCTTCAATAATAGCAGGTTGAGGAACAGTAATTATGAAGAGTATTAATCACGCTCAGCCTGTTATTGAAGCCCGGGCCATTATGCTGTGTGTCCTTCCATTTTGCATGTCATTTTCTAACATTAAGTAAGTGCGTGCAGCTGCCGCCGAGAGCCTTTCACTTAGCGTCTCCTTGTGACAGATTTGGCCACATTAAAGCATTGAACTTCTAATAATCACTGGAAATACTGTAGACTGATAAGAAGGATCAGGCTATAAGTAACAACAGAATAGGCAAGATGGGAGCTAATGAGCTAGATTCTTTTATCTAAACCCATATTATCAAAATAATATAAAATTATACCTTGTACGTTCATGATAGCTACTAGGACCTAATGGTTCTTCATTTAAATATGAATGATTTTTTACTTCATAGAAAATACCGAGATAATTTAAACTTTCCATCATGATCCTGATGTGACAAAGATGTATTTTTAGTATTGGAGGTTTCTTTTTCTACCCAGTGTTTTTAAAGACAAAGGAAAAAACAGTTAAAAGTTGTTTAACTCCTATTTTCACATGAAAAAGAAATAGAATTTACTTTAATGTGCACCTTCCGGTTGGGAAAAGATAAGAAATTTCCTGTGGTTGCATGACCCATTATGGCCAAAACCATACCAGAGCTGACCTGGCTTGGTACAGCAGCTTCAACGTCCACTTAAAGCCGTCCTTAAAAGTTGGGGATGCTAGCCGGCGCCGTGGCTCAATAGGCTAATCCTCCACCTTGCGGCGCCGGCACACCGGGTTCTAGTCCCGGTTGGGGCGCCGGATTCTGTCCCGGTTGCCCCTCTTCCAGGCCAGCTCTCTGCTATGGCCAGGGAGTGCAGTGGAGGATGGCCCAGGTGCTTGGGCCCTGCACCCCAGGGGAGACCAGGAAAAGCACCTGGCTCCTGGCTCCTGCCAGGATCAGCGCGGTGCGCCGGCTGCAGCGGCGGCCATTGGAGGGTGAACCAGCGGCAAAGGAAGACCTTTCTCTCTCTGTCTCTCTCTCTCACTGTCCACTCTGCCTGTCAAAAAAAAAAAAAAAAAAAAAAAAGTTGGGGATGCTAATAAATGTCATATTTTAAACTCTACTTAGAACTGGAAGGTTAAATATATCTCTAATATCTCTATGACATTGTGGCAATTGAGTTAAAGGGATTTTGGTTTTTACCAAAAACAGACATATTTTATTCTTTTCTATTCTTTCTTTTATATAAAAATAATTGCAGATAACTTTGGATATTACAGTAAGCTTTCAATCTATGCACCCTGTGAGTTGGGCATTTTACATCTTGTCTCCATTTTTGTAAGCTACAGAACATGAGCTATTTTTTAATATATATTTTTCTTGAAATTCTTGGAAATCTCAGAATTCATGTATTTTAGTACATTTTTTAAAAATTTTATCTATTTATTTGAAAGGCAAATAAGAGAGGGAGAGAGATGACAAAGGACTTTCATCCACTGGTTCATGCCCCCCAAATGCTCTGAACAGATGGGGCCGGGGAGGCTGAAGCCAGGAATCCTGAAGTCATCCTGGGTCTCCCGCATGGGTGGCGGGAGCTCCCATCCTTGAGCCGTCACCTGCTGTCTCCTGGGATGTGCATTAAGATCGAGAGGATGCTGAGTCTAGAAGTGGAGCCAGGATGCAGACCCAGGGACTCCAGTTTGCAATGTGGGCATCCCTGGAAGCATTTTAATTGTGTTGCCAATTTCCTACCTCAGAAGTTCAAAAATTTTTTTCACAAAATACACATCTTTTAATTCCATTTCTCAATGAACATTTTTAAGTACCCTTTTAGAATATTGTAGTGGAGTATTTGATAGCTTTTTAATGTCTGTACATTATTGCTCTGTTGTGTAATTCCACAAACCATTTCAAGCTAAGGTCACTAGAAGGTTCTGTCTGATAATGCATTCTGAAGTTAAAAAATAGGCTGTTTGTTTATTGCATTTATTAAATGCCAGAAAAACCTGATTATTGGTTTTTATTTCATTTCTCTTTTGCCTTTCATCTGTTACATAGACAGATCTTAATATACAGCTTTTGATTGCTTTAATGGATGTTTTATAATTTCCTAAAAATATAGTGACTCCAGGATAAAATGGGGTGCTGTTATGCTAATTTGAATCTCAAAATGTGCCCTTGTTTTCCTAAAAGGGAAATGAGTTTTAGCACCTGTGTTTCACTACATGTTTTGCCTAATATGTCACAAGAGGATAAGAACATTCCATTTGTGTGTTTTTGTAAATATTTCTTACATAAAAGGACAGATATAATTTTAAGCAGTTTAATTAAAGTCATTTTATTATTATTTTCAAGACCCCTGTGTTGAAGACTCAAGAGAAAATGGTTGGCTGTTGGGTTTTCACTTCTGGACCAGTCTCGCTGAGTGCCAAAATTGAAAGAAAGGGTTACTGTAATGGTAAGCAAGAACTGCAAAGGAAAATGTGATCATTTTATTAGCTAATTGTAAGTGATCTCAAGTAATGTGTCTTTTTGTTGTTTTAATTTTAAGTTATACAAGTTTCATGTATTTCATATGTACAGATTTAGGAATATAGTGACACTTCCTACCCTCCTCTCCCCTCCACACACCTGTGAGTAATGTGTTTTTTAAGGTATAAAGTATATTGTATTTTAAAACAAATAATAAAGTTTTCTTCTTGGTGTAGAACATTGATATTTAAATATTTTAAATGTATAAATAGATTGCAATAAAACTCCTGGTATTTCTGACTTCAGTCACTTTACTAACAAAAAAACAGAAGAGTCATGGCCAGCACTGTAGCTCACTAGGCTAATCCTCCGCCTGTGGCGCCGGCACCCAGGGTTCTAGTCCCAGTTGGGGCACCGGATTCTGTCCCAGTTGCTCCTCTTCCAGTCCAGCTTCCAGCTCTCTGCTGTGGCCCAGGAGTGCAGTGGAGGATGGCCCAGGTCCTTGGGCCCTGCACCCGTATGGGAGACCAGGAGGAAGCACCTGGCTCCTGGCTTCGGATCAGCGCGGTGTGCCGGCCACAGCGGCCATTGGAGGGTGAACCAACGGAAAAAGGAATACCTTTTCTCTCTGTCTCTCTCTCTCTCACTGTTTAACACTGCCTGCCCCCCCCCCCAAAAAAAAAAAAAGGAGTCAGAAAATGCCAGCATCTTCTTTTAACCTTGCAAAAGAATGTCAGGAGTTGTGTTGCTTAGAGGAGAATTGTTATAGTTTGAAAATACTGTTGGACCTTCTGACTCCTTGCCGGCTGGAGAAACAGGAATACACTAGACTGGACAAAGAACACAGCTGCGTGGTCAGGTTGATACCCAGCTGTCGTTCACGAAGGGCCCAGTTCCAGCAGTGGCTTGGGCCCCTCTGCAGGGTTCTGGCTTATTGCACGTGAATGTGGCCTGGGGTAGTGTGCTGTGGGTATATAATTGTAGAAAACTTGCCTGCTGCGAGTACTATATTCTTTGTGCCTTAGCATTATCAGTTTCTCAGAATTGCTAATATACTATTAGTACATTAGAATAATGAATAATGTGGCAATTAGAAAATAATATCTGCCACAGCCTACAGTGAATTTCTATTTCTCTGACTCATATGAGTTCCTCATACAAGTTTCTCTTAGTGATGCAAGTTTTCCATTAAGGCTTCTCAGTTTGTAAAATAACGTTGGAACATTGCCACTTTAATTGGCAACAGCCGTATTCCACGGTAGTGAGAACTTTCTGCGAAGTCTCTGGATGCACCCTATTTTTGTTTTCTTTTCAGGAGAAGCTATTCCAATCTATGCAGAGATAGAGAATTGCTCCTCTCGCCTGATTGTTCCCAAAGCTGCCATTTTCCAAACCCAAACATACTTGGCAAGTGGGAAAACGAAGACCGTTCGCCACATGGTCGCCAACGTGCGAGGAAACCACATTGCTTCTGGGAGCACCGACACGTGGAACGGCAAAACTCTGAAAATCCCCCCTGTTACTCCGTCCATCCTGGACTGCTGCATTATCAGAGTAGACTATTCCTTAGCTGTGAGTAGAGCCCTTTTTCAAGTTAGAAACAGTTGGAACTAGGGTCATGTTACTGTGAGTGTGTGCAGTTCGTCCCTGCAGCAATGTCCTTTTATATGTTCATTGCCATCAGTCGTGGTGTCTATGAAGATTGGCCTTTGTTCTTCATCAAAAACGGTCCTCCTTCCCCAAGGGATTTAATAAAATAACAAATGAATCCCACTGAGGAGTGCTTGCCCTACTCCTGTACGTGATGGTCAAGTGCAAGGCCACGCCCCCTGTCCCAGGTCACTATCACGGTCAAATGGGTCAAATGTAAGGCCACACCCCCTGTCCCAGGTCACTATCACAGTCAAATGGGTCAAATGCAAGGCCACGCCCCCCCAGGTCACTATCAGGTCAAATGGGTCAAATGTAAGGCCACGCCCCCTGTCCCAGGTCACTATCACAGTCAAATGGGTCAAGTGCAAGGGCATGCCCCCTGTCCCAGGTCACTATCATGGTCAAATGGGTCAAATGCAAGGCCATGCCCCCTGTCCCAGGTCACTATCATGGTCAAATGGGTCAAGTGCAAGGCCACGCCCCCTGTCCCAGGCCACTATCACGGTCAAATAGGTCAAATGTAAGGCCACGCCCCCTGTCCCAGGTCACTATCACAGTCAAATGGGTCAAATGCAAGGCCATGCCCCCTGTCCCAGGTCACTATCATGGTCAAATGGGTCAAGTGCAAGGCCACGCCCCCGTCCCAGGCCATTATCACAGTCAAATAGGTCAAATGTAAGGCCACGCCCCCGTCCCAGGCCACTATCACGGTCAAATAGGTCAAATGCAAGGCCACGCCCCTGTCCCAGGTCACTATCATGGTCAAATAGGTCAAATGCAAGGCCACGCCCCCCTCCCAGGTCACTATCAGGTCAAGTGCAAGGGCACGCCCCTTGTCCTGGTCACTACCCTGTTCTGTTTTGTCCCCTCAGGACAGCTCACACTTGTAAGGGGAGGGATGGCGGGTGACAGAGAAAGCAGGCTTTCTGCTGTGAGGGTTGATTTACATTTGTGCCTTCCTTCCACTTCTTCTTCCCGTTCTAGGTGTACATTCACATTCCTGGTGCTAAAAAGCTGATGCTCGAGCTGCCGTTAGTGATCGGTACCATTCCGTACAATGGCTTTGGCAGCAGGAACTCCAGCGTTGCCAGCCAGTTCAGCATGGATATGAGCTGGTTGACACTGACCCTGCCGGAACAACCTGAAGGTAAAGCGTTTTCCCGTCATTTTGTAGTGAGATTTTAGACAGAGAATACCTTGTGTGCCAGGACACGCAAGATAGCAGGTTCTCAACAGTTAATTACTACCACTACTGCAACTGTCCTTACTCTTATTGCTAAAAATCATGAAACGTTACTCCTCAAAGAGACCTTGAAAGTTTCACATATCCAGGACACAGAGCTGCTGATGCCAGATTCAGGAACAAAATTATTCTTCCTGATTCCAATTCATTAATAGAAAAACCATGAAAAATAGTCAAAAGGAAATTATGGAGTGTTACATACTTTCTGTAGCCACATTTCAATGAATTTGTTTAGCTAGACTGTGACACAGATCTCGTAAGAATAGAACATAATTAATGTTAGTAGCAGTTTGATTAAAAACTACTTTTATTATAATAGGTACAAAAGCGTGTTGTTTAGAGGACAGTATGTTTTTATCTTCAAATTTAGCTGAATTTCTTGTGTAAGACTTCAGAAGAGATTAATAATTCTGCGTGGATTTCTCAACTCACCGCATCTCTGTTTCAGCACCACCGAATTATGCAGATGTGGTGTCCGAGGAAGAATTCTCCAGACACATTCCCCCCTACCCTCAGCCTCCGGGCTGTCTGGGAGGAGCGTGCTACCCCATGCTTGCCTGCATACAAGAATTCCGGTTTCAGCCTCCGCCTCTTTATTCAGAGGTAAACAAAGTGACAGAAAATGAGACTTTTACTGTGCTGTTTGCAAATGATCATTTGCTGCCCTGCGTTCATGTGTTGCTGGCCTGTAATTAGTAGGAGATATGTGTAAATCTGTTTTCACAGTGGTGGCGGGTTGTCACGATCCCTTTCCTACGTTCTCTAGTGTTTTTCTTGTGATTTTGTGCATGCATGCACGGTAGTATGAATTCCCTTTAGGGTGTTTGATCTGATCATGGAATACAGAGAACTTAATGGCCTGTTGGGACTCAATAATAGGTTCTGAGCAACTTGGTTTATAAGAAGCATCGTAAAACTAAAAATAGATGCTAGAATCATTTTGGAGTTTTAACAGCAGTCACCTCCTTATCCTTTTTTAATTTTATTTTTTATTTTTTGTCAGGTTGACCCACACCCTAGTGATGTCGAAGAGACCCAGCCTGTCTCCTTCATTCTCTGAATGTGTTTCAGTAATCACTGTGCTCATCATCAGATCAGAGTGTTGGTTCGTTCCTCCTGCCCCTTTGGGGTGGGTGGAGAGATTTCCTTACAGACATACATGGACATTAAGACAGAAGGCCATAGAAAATAAAGAACACGGGAACTTTCTGGTGGGCCAACAGGATGTTTGCACAACTTGATGGGATGGTCGTCGTTTGTCCCCTTTGAAAAGGGGTGAAGATGTGAAAAGCCACAGAATGTAGTGGAAGTCCTGAGGGGGCAGAGTAAGTGGAGGAGTGCCTGCGCTGACCCGAGCGGGAGGAAGCGCTGTGAGGAAGTCTTCCAAAAGTGGACACAAGTGAAGAAGCATGCTGACAGGAGAATGTGTGTGGCGGCGCCGGGTATGCGGGAGCGGGGCAACGGCCAGCTCTGGAGACAGAGAGACCCCTGGGACCCTGGGTCTTCATGATTTCTGACCACGTGACCAGACTCGAGGACTGAAGTCCTCGGAAGGATCCCTTCCTGACCCCATGGTCACACGAGGTCCTAATGATGACACAGCTTTGGCTTTCTGAACCCTGGGCTGAAATGCAGTTCACAACCTGGCTCTGCAGTTGTGGGAAACCAAGAAAGGTTCCTTGAGAAACTTGAGCTTTTGTGGGATCGAAGCAGAATGATTGATTTCCGTGTGAAAACAGATTTGGTTGAAGGCCGTAGCTTTTTACCCCTTTTAAGTACTTTAACGGGATACATGTTTGAGTTTCCTCATACCTTGTTTACCTGTGGGCACATCAGAAAAAGGAGACAGGGGAAAACAGTTGCATCTTCAGAATGCCTTGATAACTACATGGCCAAACAAAAACAAAAAACCTTTTCTTAACCTACCTCGTATGGGGTTATCAGGTATGTTTTTAAAACTCTAGGCCTGATCAGTGATCTTTGAAGTTCTGCTATTTACGTAGCAGCCTCAACTCCTTGACACAAGGGAAAAATCCATAAGTTAACATTAAATGGAAGTAAATATATATATATATTTACATATATTTATTTCAAAATAAATCCAAAATCAAAAGAGGGTAGGAATACCATTTTCCAAAAATGTAAATTAATTCCCATCAAAAGGCTGATGTCTACAGATGGCAGTCACTGCATTGTACATTGTTTATTCCAGCTGTTCTGTGATTCTATTTAAACTGTGATTTTCTTTATTGTCTTGGTGCAATATTTTATTATCATTTAGCCTCAGGATACTCACACCAACAGGATTGCGTTGCTGCTGAACGTTTGCACAGTGTTCTCACCGTACCCCTTTGCCCTCATGTCCGTGGTCACCTGTTCACGTGCTGTTCCTTCCATCTGTTGGTTTCCTGAGCTGAGACTGTTTCTGGACACTAAGCAGAAGGGAGAAAGGGGTCCCCTAGATACAGATTTTGGACCAGCTGAGTCCTAAGGGTTTGATCTAGAAACCCTGGTGCTTCCCGTACAAAATACTGTAATTGATCCCACAAAATGACCGACTCATCTTCCGGTCGGCACATTCACTTAGAACAGTCCTTCTGAGGTTAAATTTTGTATTTCGAGTTCGGTGGGCCACTGGATCAGGGATTTTTCTACAAACATTAGGTACTGTGTGCTCTCTGCCCTCTGGACATACCTCTCCTGCAGTCACGCAAGCGTCAAGCACACGTCTTTCCTTGTAGCCACTTTTCAGAATCACAGTGCCAGATGCCATGCTAGTACCTGTGGTACGGAAACGGTCACAAAGCCTCATTTTACTTTGGTTTTTAGAGTTTTTATTTTGCTTTGCTTCTTTTGTGTGTCCTTAAACAGGTGTGTGTCTTTAAGTACTGTCTAAAACGTTTTGTCTTTACTGCAGAATAGTCCCTCCTCAGCTATCTGTTGATGCCTTAGTTGCAGCTGGTGTGCCTTGTTGGGACACTGTCCACCTCCATGAAACCAGAGCGAGAAAAACACGCAAACCGGACACACGGAGAGAGAGAGTTGAGTAATTTGGCTCCACGTAGAGAAGCGACTACTTAGAGGAACCTTTGTTAGGATTATTTTATAACCTTAATTAGAGAAATCATGAAGTCCCCCCGCATGGTTGAGGCAGAGTTAACTCCATAACACTTAATCGTTCAAAGGTCTGACCTACCTTACTGACTTGATAGTGGTCCATCTGTCCTTAAGCTGTAGGGTGAAATCTTTACTTAATCAAGATAGCATTTTCTGAATGTAGAAAACCACATTGGAGCAGAGAAAACCTGGGGATGAAGATAAAAATTAGCTGCTGTTACTTGCTTGTTTATTCCCTTCTTGCTCTTGTTTAGTTTGCAAAAAAAGAAAAATAAAGTGGCCTTAGAATTTTCTTTTTGACGCAAAAATTGTGAAATTGAAAATGTGCACCTTTTGGCACACAAAACTCCTTCTCCTAGGCAAAAATTTACTTTCTGTGTTTTTGTTTTGCACAACAAAAGACTCAATAAGCAGAGGTTATGTTTTTTGGTAAGTTAACTATGAAAGTTTTTTTTAATTTTTATTATTAAAAGTGTAACAATTTAACCCACAGGAGAAAAAAAAATTGTATTTTGTACTCTTGTTTGAACCCCATGGGTTCTTTTTGTTAATAAAATGATTACAGTAATGCTGTGAGTTACTTGTTTTCGTTTGTATTTTTGAAAGACTAATTTAAACTTCTAGGGACTTAGGGAAGATCAGTACAGGAAACAGAATGTTCTTGCTGTTGAGAGGGAGCTGTGTGCACGCTGTCAAGAGGCAAAGAGCAGCCCTAGGAATGCCGGCTGTTTCCCCGAGGTAAGGGGTTCTTCACATTCTGGGAAGAGAAGTAATCGAGATGAGTGACAAAGTGGAAGCCACACTGGCTGTTGACTTGGCGTATACAAAAGTTCATGGAAAATGGAATTAAAAGATAAGTTTGTTTCAGTAAAAAATTTTGAAATCCATGCATATAAGGGTTCTTCAAAACGTCCCTGAGTGTGGGTGTGGTGAACAATCACGGATTGAAATCATCAGATTTCAACTTGTTTTTGCACTAAAGTGAACCATTTGTCATATATTTTTAAAGTTTGAGAAGTAGAGTTAGGGGAAGACAGAAAGATCTTCCATCCGCTGGTTCACTCCCCAGATGGCCACGAGGATTGGAGCTGGGCCCATCCGAAGCCAGGAGCCAGGAGCTTCTTCCGGGTCTCCCACGCGGGTGCAGGGGCCCAAGCACTTGGGCCGCCATCTACTGCTTTCCCGAGCCATAGCAGAGAGCTGGATTGGAAGAGGAGCAGCCAGGACTTGAACTGGCGTCCATGTGCAGTGCCAGCACTGCAGGTGGCAGCTTTACCGGCTACACCACAGCGCTGGCCCCTTTTCTGTGAACTTCTTGAAGTGCTTGGAAATCTCTTTACCCTCAATGCAGAAAGACCATTCTTGAAAGCCTTCTGAGTTTCAGTATTTCCTGGATCAGAACTCGCCACAGTTGATGGAGCAGATCAGGTGGATACAAGCCCTGTGTGAAGGCACATCATCTCTAGCTGGCCGCCTTCTGTCCTGGAAAATCTTCTAGTCTCCAGTTATTTTTCGCATGTGGTGTGACATAACTTAACAAATGCATTGTTTCTGCAATAACATTTCTTAGCAACTTTAACGGAAATATTTGTTCCATGTAATAAATACTGAGGCAAAATTTCCCCAAGACCTGCATCAGAGTTTGTGTCATATGGGAACACTGTAGATAATCACATTTAGAACAAGATGACTCCGCGAATAGATGAGGACAAGCCCTCACCTTAGCAGTGACGATGCTAAACCCAGAGACGGAACCTGGGAGTTGGGCCTCCATTCACCTGTAAGAGGTCTCTGCTGGCTCGGAAATCTCCTGATTCTGCAACTGTAGAAGACATGAGGGAAATAGGCGCTGGTTTCAATCGCACAGCTTGAGATTTGCAGACCTGGAGACCAGACACATGCCAGATCAAGACTCAGTGTTTGCGTCTGAAAGGCTTGCTTCCTGAGAGTCTACCAGTCTTCCACTAAATTGCTTCCTACGTGTGTTTAATTAGTAGCTGGGATCTTTTTTCCCAACAGCTGTGTTTCTACCTTTATATTTTGAAATAATTACAGACTCACAAGATGTTGCAATGATAGTACCATGACGTCCTGTGTATCCCTCCCACAGTCTCTGGCAATGGGGCATTGACAACTCAGACGCCCGGTTTCTGCTTGTGTATGTGTATAGAGCTCTGTGGAATTGTATCACATGTCTGGGTTCATAGAATCAGCCCCACAATCAAGATGGAGACTTCACACCCTTTCCTGCCCGAGCCCACCCCGTCATTGATCTGTTTTCCATCCCCATAATTCTGTCATTTTGCAACCTGGATACATGGAGTCATTGAGAATGTGCCTTCTGAGACTGGCTTTTGCATTCAGCAATATTACAACCTTAAGATCCTCACAAGCGGCTTCCTGCACTATCAGTGTATCCTTTGTCGTTTAGTTGGATTTTAAAAGAATCAGATTTGACTACTTAAATTTTCATATTGTGCTTTGCAAAGAAAATTGTAATAATTATATGCTCATAACACCTTTGTAAATAGGTCTTGGTGTGGAGTCTGAGGACCACCTCTTAGGTAGGAAATACATAAATACAGACTGACACAAACTTGCAGGGACTAATTTTTAGGTTGCCAAAGTAATTGAAGTGTTTTGCCTTTAAACAGCATGCTATTGCATTATAATTGAGCAAGATATCCCTGTTACTAAACTATAGACCAGGTAGAAAGTATGTGGACGTATTTATCCTGTCACCTTCTGAATCTCATGAATTTTAACATAAATTATGCAGGAAAGACTACATTCCCCTGTGTGTTTGTGTACAAATTCTGTAGTTTTTTTCTTCCTTTTTCCCCTGCCTCTTTAATTCCCTTCTTTTACAATACAACTTCATCAAAAGAACTTCTAAGTAACCTTTGTTTTTTAATTTGAAGGCAGAGACAGAGATCTTCCATCTTCTGGTTCGCTCCCCAAATGCGCATAACAGCCAGGCTGAGCCAGGCACAAGCCAGGAACCGAGCTCAAGCTGGGTCTCTGTGGAGGGCCCCAAGTTCCTGAGCCCTCACTGGTGCCTCCCAGGGTCCACATTGCTAGGAAGACGGAATCAGACGCGGAGCCAGAATTCAAGCCCAGGACGCTGTGAAGGGTTTTCCACTGCTACACCAAATGCCTGCCCTGAGTGGCATCGCTTACCGATGAGACAGAAAGCTCATTTTGAAGCTAAAAAAGAAATTTAACTACAAAGTATGTGCTTATTCTTAATGAAACAATATAAAACATAGGTATACTTGTGAAGACATATTTTTCTAAACAGGAGAGCTCTTAGTTCATAAAAGCTATTACATACATAATAACCTAAGGAGCTTTTCCATAAAACCAGACCTGTATCTGTCAAATATGGAGGGAAGCCACAAAACAGAAATGCATAGTGATGAGGGTGAAGGGTGGACAAGACGTGCTGACTGGTGCCCGCCCCAGGACATCTGTCAGCTCACGGAATGTTTCTTACTAGTGCGGTTTCTGTGTTCAGTGGCAGAAGTTTTGTTCTTGCCCAAATTTTCAAGGATCCAGGTTGTCTTAAGTGGACAGAAAGAGACGTATTTTAGGCCAGTACCTCTCTCTGTGAACAAGTGAAAAGTAGGTGCTGCCCTCATGCTTAGAAACTTCTCCCTCCAACCCACACACACAGAAACACTTAACACGCATGTGCCCGCACACCCTCCTGCACACACGGAGACAGAAACCCTTAGCTTCTGCTCTCTTGTATGCACCCTCTACCTCCAGACCAGAGTCTCTCTCAGATCAAACTGTAAGCTTTGCTGCTAAAGGGAGAAACAGGCGATGGGTTGCTACTTAGCAACTTATTTGCTGGAAGAGAATTCGTTTTCCACCAGTTTTTAACCAATGTGCTCCCAACAGTACAATGCTGGTAGAGAGACATCAGAAAATGTTATCACATGAGTGAACTCAAGCACTGGGTGCTTGGAATTTATCGTTTTCCTTTAAAAGCAAATTGTCAATGTCAGCTTGAATATAGATGGATTCAATTTCCCAATCAAAAGATATAAATTGGCTGAATGGAATAAAAAACAAGAACCAACCACCTGTTGTGTACAATAAATGAACTTCACAGGAGAAGATCCACACAGTCTGGAAGTGCAAGTTTGTAAAAAGATGAACAAGGAAATGGAAACCAAAACCATGTGGGAATAGCTATACTCCTATGAAAACAGATTTTAGATCTAGAACTATACTAAGAAATGAAATATTGATAAAAGACTTGATTCAGCTACAAGTATAACAGTCATATAGGCATCCAACACAAGATCACCCAGCTATCCACAGCAAACGTTATTAGACCTAAAGGGAGATATAGACTACAATGATAGCGGGGACTTCAAGACCTACCTTTCATCAATAGATCACTCAGACAGAAAATCAAGATACATCAGAACTGAAATATGCCATGGAGCAACAGACATTTACAGGACATCTCACACAACAGCTGGAGAGTACACATTCTCATCAGCCCAGGGACCATTCTCTAGGATAGAACAGATATTACACACTAATCAAGTGCTGTAAAATTACACACTAATCGAGTCTCAGTAAATTTAAAAAGATGGAAATCATACCATGTATCCTCTCAGAGCACATAGGAATAAAGTTAGAAATCAGCAACACAAAGAACAAAGGAAATTTATAAATACATGGAAATTAAACAGCATGTTACTGAAGGACCAATGGATCGTTGAATATATAGAAAAGGAAATAAAATTTCTAGAAACAAATTAACATGAAAACACAATATATTAAAACCTGTGGGAGACAGCAGATGAAGTGTTAAGAGGGAAAGTCAATAAATGCTTAAACTTTTAAAAATTCTCAATCTAGTGATGTCTCTCAAGGACGTATAAAAACACAAGCTAAACCCCAAGTCAACAGAAGGCAAGAAATAATAAGACTTAAAATAAATGAAATTGAAAGAAATTTCAAAAAAAATCTAATAAAACAGAAAGCTTGTTTTTTTGAGAAGATAAATAAAATAGATAAACCATTAGCCAGACTAACATGGAAAAAAGGAGAAAAACTCAAATAAAATTAGAGATGAAAAAGGAGAAATTAAAACCGAAAGCACAGAAATACAAAGGGTCATAAGAAACTACTATGAACATCAACATGCAAACACATTGGAAAATCTCGAAGAAACAGACAAGTTCCTGGTTACATATGAGCTACCAAGATTAAATAAAGAAGATAAAATCTAGACAGACCCATAACAACCACCAAGACTGAAGCAGTGACTAAGTCTCCCATCAAAGAAAAGTCCAGGAACTTATGGCTTTACTAGTGAATTACACAAAGCATTTAAAGAGGAACTAACTCCAATCCTTTTCAAACTATTCCAAAAAAACTGAGAAAGATGGAACTCTGCCAAACTCATTTTCCAAATCAGCATCGCTCCAATCCCGAAAGCAAACAAAGACACACGACAAAAAGAAAGCTACAGACCAGTATCTTTGATGAGCATAGATGCAAAAATTTTGAACAAAATCTTAGCAATTGAAATCCAGGACTACA